GCCCAAATGGCGTAGTTCCTATCGTTGAGCTTTTCCGCCATATTTAATGGCTGATTGGAAGAGCTCTCGATAGGTTCGGCCTTGGGTGTCAAATTCTGAAAATTTTGAAGAATTTCCAGAATTTGTGCAAGATTGATCGGCTGATTTTTCGGGTCAGATTCCTCTGTGTTTATGGAACTGCCCGTTTGAGGAGTTTTATCGGACATTTTTTTTTATGGTATATGATGAATGCTGCGTTTCATTCAATTGTTTGATCGAATGATGGCTCTGATACCATATTAGAAATATTAGAATGAATTCACAGCATAATATTCATCTTATTCAATTCATCATCAAATGATGAGTATAAATATTACAAAGTGAATAATCTAGACAATCAAGGAAGGTAAGTGGAAGATAATAAAATATCTTTGATTGGTAATTTGATTCCAATCAAGGATATTATCTTAGTCATCAATATTATTCCTTTGTTTGACACTATTCCTTTGTTTGACATTTCTAACAAGGGCGATAGGGTAGCTAGGAGGGGGCGGGGGTAGGAGCAAACACGGGGTGAGGGAGGGGTGCGCATATGGAGAGTGGATTAGGGTTTTCTTTGACAAACAAATCGAAATCATTTTTTCTTGTTGAGAGAAAATATTTTCCCTTAAACTTGTTTTCCTACCATCTATGTTACCAAATATAGAAAATTAAAATTACCGGAGAACATTTTCTCTAACCAAGCGGACCCTTACTCTTAGTAACATCTACGAAAGAATCAATTCACAAATAAAAATAATTTATAAAGACAGATCGAATCACCGAAGCAAAGGACTATGATGGCAGATGAAGTGCTACACAATCTTCATAGTAGCGCATACAGACAAAAATAAACAAAAACATTGAACAATGCACAAAGAATCATTTATGCAGTTCGGGGCAATTTTTCCTTCTCCGTAGGCCTACGTCATGTGTAACAACCCCCAGTAAATGTTAATAACTATTACACCGATGAATACAATAAAAGTCTCCTCTAAAGTATTGACAAAATCCTACTACGTAAGATTTCTAACTCGAACCCGATTTGAGCTATTTCATAACATGTAACACTTTTTTTCGAGACCTTCTCTAGAAGTAGGACAGTGTCTTTGATGACTTAGGCAGTTAGGCACCACCAAAATGAGATAGAGAAGGCTAATAAAGGTCTATACTATGAACAAGAAATTAAATGATAAATTATTTGTTTGTCAAAAAGTATTGCCAACAAGAGTCCACAGAAAGAATTTTAAATGAAGCATTATAGGGAACAAATAGTAAATACATCTATATATTTAATATTTTAGTCTTAGTTAGGTAGATTTTTCTTAAAAATTTAAATGTAAATTTCATATTGAATGATTGGAGAATATATAAATAGGGAAATTATTGATGCTTTAAAAAATGAGATGCATGAAAACCAAATTTAAAGACAAAAATGTGGAGTCCAGCGTATGTTTGAGAGACACAAAACATACATCCTCGTTCAAGATACTGATATCTTATATGATTGATGAAGTATTTTTGTATAACTCAAAATAACTTTAGTCTCGAAAAATATTTTCAGGCAATTTGTTGAGTCTACAAAGTTGCTCTTCTTCACGTTCTTCGTATAGTGATCATATATCTAACGCTCCTATGTAGCATTGTCACCCCTCCACGATATCCTACAACTTCTCCAAACACCATTAGACACGGTGTTTTTATCCCATCTTTTGTTGGACTTGGGTTTTGCCCCAAACTCAACCTCTTCTTTTAAAGCTTGAACTCTATTTTGGCTTTTCATTACATTTTTACTCAAAATAAAATATCTGATAATTTAGGTAAGGAAACGTAATAAAAATATAAAATATAAAAATTAACTAAAAACTATGGAGTACTATTTATGAAAGAAATTAAGAGATTGTAAATATGAAAGACAAAAATATGTAGTCTGGTGTATGTTTGACGAACACAGAGCATTTTTAGATACCAATTTCTTATTTGATTGAAGTATTTTCGTGAACCCTAAAATAACTTTAGTCTAAAAACGTGTCTCGCGGTACGTTTTCTTCGTGTTCCTCGTATACCCATAGAAAGTATTTTCTTATCAAGTCTTCTTCGTGTTCCTCGTATACCCATCATATCTAACGCTGCTACGTAGCGGTGTCACTCCTCCAAGATTTCCTACAACCTCTCCAAACTCAATCCTCTCCGTCACTTCACTTCTCCATTGTTTCCCTCTTCCTTTTACCCTTGGACACACTTCTTTTGTAATTTTTCTCTGATCTTTTTGGAGGTACGAACGGGACAACGGGTAACGAATTGAAGCACATGACGAGATAAATAGCTTGAGACTTCAAATCAATTACAGACATTGATAAGTATTTTGGGGTGCCACTGTTTTCAATTTATTTGCTATGAAGAGTTATTGCATTTACTCTTTTGGTTGATGTGATTTTAACATTTTGAAATTAGGATTTGTTCCTGGTACAAAGACAGAGGAAGTGCATAGTTTTTTGGTCAAAGGCCGGGTATATGTGATGGGATTCTAGCTTTATTCAATGCATTATTTAAAAAAACAAAATTAAGTCGAACAATCATCTGAAAGGATATAAATTGAGCTTTAATCAGAGACTAACGTTATTTTAGATATGGATAATGTTATTTGTACCCCATTTTATATACCGTAAGGATGCACCAACATTTTGTGTTGGTGTAATGCTAATTTTTGTTAATGCACCAACACTTTGTGTCAGTGTAAATTTTTGTTAACGCACCAATATTTTGTGTCAGTGTGAACCATCAAAATGTTGGTGCATACCTTTGGTGTACAAACGGGGTACAAATTTTGGGGTACATGTAGCATGCTTCTTTTAGTTATAGTGTAAAACATTTGTACTCGTATACTAAAAACTGTCGCCAAAAACTTTAAAACCAAAAAACCTTTTGCAATCCAACTCTTGGAACCAAAAAAACAATATGAAAAAGTTATCAACTGAGTACTTCTAATATAGTTGTTTGGCTTATCATTTGCATTAAAAAAATTAATGGCAAAAAACTGCCCAAAAGCTACTCACCAAACACACCCACAGAAGATTTAGAAAGCTCTGGGTTCCCACCCACACAAATCTAGAAACCCAAAAGTTCCAGGGGAAAAGACCAAAACCTTAATCTTGGAAATATGATTGCACATTAATGGGAAAACAGAATAAATGTCATCAATTTTCAGAAGCAGGAATTGGCTAGTACATGAGAGGTTTGAATGTTTAATAAGAACATTAGTATTGACAATAACAGCTACCATAAAACAAAAGAAACTCTCGCTCTAGCTGAAACTATCATCGCCAAAAAATAGAAACAAATGATCGGTACGTAACTGTACCACTAGGATTCAAGTGCACTTGTGACACTGGAAGTAACTGAGTTCATAATGAATAACAGAAAAAACATTTCGGAATGTATATTACGAGTACGCATTAAAAGGATATGGGATGATAAATCTTAGCTCTCAGGAAGCTTTGTTTGCACAAGCTCGGAAGGAGGGCGTAAAATGCAGACCATTTCCTTTGTCTTTCCAAAATAAACCTGCAAGTTTCACTAACTTTTATTATCACATATCCTCTTTAAATATACTACCTATAAGCATGTCCTACAAAAACTTTCCCCGTTGGAACCGATGCAGTTACTGAGAAATGTGAAATTGTTAGTTGAGATTTATGCACAGAAGCGATGAACAATATGGACTACAATATAGTGGAACCGATTTTGGGACAATCCCAATTAGGAAATGTGGTACCTTTTAGTGGAAGGGAGTATTACGAGAAAACCAGGAATTATTATTTATGCATAAACTATAATGCAGTGGAAAACTTTTCTTGGGTGGCATCTTTGGGATCAGCCAATGGAAAAAGTGTTGGGTGGCTCCCTCCAAATAAAGGGCCCACGTGTCATACATATCAAATGGATTATTAATTAAGCAAAAGGAAAATGAAGGCCAATTGATAAGATCACATTGGCAAAAGAGGAGGAAAGCAAATTGTCTCCAGGAGTGAGGCGGCAAGCTCAAAGCGGTGAAAAAGATCTATAAAAGGAGTTTTGTTCCTTGTCCGAAGATTATGGTGAGCTACGGTGAGAGAGCTCCCATCTAGGGAGAGAGTCTAATATTGTGTGTTGGGGTAGTAGACTCTGCACCAATTTCAGTGAGAGTAATGTTGTTGAGAAAGTGCTCCAAAATAACTTAGGTGTGTTTTAAACTTGGTTGAGAGTTCTAAACACTTTGTAAGAGGGTTTTACTATTTGTCCGTTACAAATTGTACTATGTTTCAAATAAAAATAGAGAGGAGTGGATATAGGTTAATAGGTTTATTGAGAAACTGAACTACGTCAAAAAATATTGTGTTCTTGTGTTCTTATTTTCTTCTTTTTGCGTATATTATCCTAAATAGGTCTCCCCACAAAAAGTATGACAATCTATTACCTGATCGAGCGAGTTCCTAAGCTTTCCCTCCATTTCCTCAATCATCCTCCCCATGTTGCACAAATGACCCTCTGAGATAGGGAGATGCATGCTCATCTATCACATACAGGAACATTAATAATGAAAATGGCACCAATGAATTCTCAATACACTGTAAAGAAAAGCATGACCAGAAGATTTAATGCCTTGGGAACTCAAACATGGTAGCTATCCACTCTACTGAATGTTGGTACAAGTAAATGCACAAAGAGACTCCACGTGAATATTTAAGTCTGTTTTCTAGGAAACAGAGTGGAACTTGGCAAAATGAATCTTTGATTTTTGTTCTAGGCAACACATTGGAAGTTACTTAAGCGTCAAGATGCCCGGGGAGGAAATTTGCATGGTAAGTAAAAATGTACTAGTCCCTTCATCCCAAACTAAAGTTGCAATTTCTTTTTTTAATGTCCCAAAATAAGGGTTAGGGGCTGTTTGTTTCAGCCTCTTAATGGTTCAGATGTCTGAATGGTTCAGCACTTAATGGATCAGACTGTCAGCCTCTTAATGGTTCAGATGTCTGAACGGTTAAGAGATTTGCCTCTGAATGGTTAAGTATTATACAGAGTCTGAATGGTTAAGACCTCTTATCTAAATTGATCAGACATTTGCCTCTGAATAGTTAAGCAATATACTAGCTCTTAATGGTTCTCTTACTGGTTCAGCACTTAATGGTTCAGACCTCTTACTGGTTTAGCACTTACCTATTCAGAAGTTGCCAAACAGCCCCTTAGACTTTTTTCACTTTCCAGTTTAGGAAAGAAATATATGGCTCTTATCATTTCTCTCTTCTAAATACTACAAAAAATCAACTACACACTTTTCACTAAACATCTTTCACTTTTTACCACTTTTTGGAATGGAGAGAGTATAACACACAATAGCCAAAGATATTCCTCAGAAACACATGAAATTAAAGCTGTAATTACAAAAACAGTTAACCTTAAAAAAGGTAGCCCGATGCACAAAGTGTCCCCGCTTAGTAGGAATGGCACTAGGCAGGATCTGAGCAGGATCCTTATGAAGTCCTGAACCAAGATCCATTTTATTACTTTTTGTTTGGACCCATATCCTACTCAATCCAATGGGTCTTTAGATGTCTGATCCAGGTCCATTTCCTCTGGTTCCAACGGGTAAATGAATCTTTAATGGATCCACATTATTTATATTTAAAATTAATATAGTCATGATATACAATTCACAAAGTGTATCTACACTTAAATTGACAAAATAGTGAAAAAAATACATAAGGCTTAAACAGATACTCCGTATTATATACGAAAACTATTAACACAAATTTTTAACAAAACATTCTTCTTAGGGAAAACATATATCAACCTCTTTACAGATTTGACAAAAAAAATTATTTAAAGATTAAGTATAATTTTTAATTAGGGAATACAGATTTAATGAGATATTAACATGTTTTAAGTATAGAATAGTATAGAAAATAAATAAAGAAACTAGAAACATGTGTGATAAAGATGTTGTGGGCTAGAGATTGGAGGTTGACCGGCGTTTAAGGATTCTTTTTTCCTTTTTCAAATTTAGGGTAGAGCACATGTATAAATTATAACCATGAACTCAGGGCACATAATGGGCAAAATAGAAAAGGGATGAACTTCCCTTGCTTCTTATTCTCTATAAAGTTTTGGACAGTAGGGTCACGGAAACAAACTCTCTTTTTACATGAGTAAGACTACATACATCTTGACCACAAGACCCAACTGGGATTATACTAGGTTGTTGTTGTAATCATGAAGTCACGGGCCCTAAGGCCATGTCATATTTAACCATACATGGTTGGAGGACAATTTTTAAAAATAAAGCTATTGGAGCAAAAGATAGAAATGTTTGGATATCTAAGATTATAGTACCCGGGTAGACGGTAGACCTATGGGCTTTATTTTGTAGTTTACAATGGTGTTTTTTTTGCCTTGGTCGGTAGCTTGCGTGTGTCTACTTTCTATGCTTTGAGTTTTGTTCCTAGTGTCGGTTTGAATGCATATTGTGTTTGTGTTCTTGCTTAGTTCGTGCTAATTTGTTTTATGTTTTCCTTGTCCGCACTATTGTGCTTAAGCTGGAGTTTTTTTTGGAAACAACATTTCTAGTGTCAAGTAAGGCTAAGGTTTGGTGGTGGTGGTGAAGCTAAAATAGTTGATATTGATAATGTTTTAGCTTCGGGGAAATAATTGACTAAATTGAAATGGGACATTAAACCTCCCTTGAGTCCCTTCTTACTTTCTATGTTTTGGGAAGTAAATGCAACTATGCATCAATGGTCTAACCAAAACAGTCTCCCTCCTAATCTTTGTTTATTACAAGGATAAGATTGTGTACATCTTGACCCTGACTAAGGAGTTGGTTTTATACTGGGTTGTTGTTGCACCGGAAAGTTAGAACACAATTATTTATTTATTTATCATGGAGTAGCAAAAAGAAAAACTTTAACGGAAAAGAAATGATAACAGTGAGAAGAATATCAAATAATGAGTTTATATCAAAGGTAGCCCTGAAATAAAAAGAAAAGGGAATTCTTAAAATGGGAGGGCCAAAAGAATCAAACGAGCATAGAAATGTTCATAATATTTGTATTAGATTCCTTAAATAATTATTATTGATAGATTTCTATGAGTATTAGTTTCTTTTAATTTTTTTTAAAATTATGTATGTGTTTCCTAGAAGATTTCTTAGAATAATGGAGTACATTTATGATTTTGTATCTTGGACTTGGGAGGAAGTTTTCTTTTTCTTTTTTAGAAAATAATTAAAGATAGTTACAGTTCTAACCACCAAAATTCTTGTTCTCTTCTCTCTGTTTAGTGTATTACCTCTGCTTAAAGAAGAGGATTGCAACCACCACAGGGAACTACTAGGGAAGCATCGTCCCCCAGCAGAAGCTGCAATCCAAAAGGAATGTCCTGTGACACATAGATATTCCCTAGAACATAACATACAGAGCATCAGGAAACAATGTTTCAGAGAAGTCATGAAACACAAAAGAAAAGTGGCCCTAACTTTTCTTCAACCCTTTCCTGAGGTACACATGACTCGTCAATTTCCCTAACCAACAACAACAACAACAAAGCCTTATCCCACAAAGTGGGGTCGGCTACATGGATCAAACGACGTCATTGCGCCTATCGTGTATCATATCTGCTGTGAGATTGTTCACGCGAAGGTCTCCCTTGATCAATGCTTGCCAAGTCCTCTTAGGTCTACCTCTTCCTCCAACCACATGCCTATGCACCATTTGATCAACCCTTCTCACAGGATGCTCTATTGTTCTTCTCTCCACATCTCCAAACCACCTAACCTAAGACGAGTTTCCACCATTTTTCCTACAACAGATGCCACTCCAACTTTAGCTCTCATATCTTCATTCCTTATTCTATCCATACACGTATGACTGCTCATGCAACGAAGCATCTTCAATTCCACCACACTAACCTTGTGTTCATGTTCACCCTTTGTTGCCTAACACTACGGTAAAATTTTCCCTTTAGTTTTAAAGGTACTTTTTTGTCACATATAAAGCTCGAAGCCCTCCGCCATTTTGACCAACCGGCTTGAATCCTATGATTAACATCATCATCTATTTCTCCATCGTCTAGAATGATACACCCAAGATATTTAAATCTCTTTACTTGTGGTATAGTATTTTCTCCAACTTTCACCTCGATGTTACTAGCTCTTCTTCTGTTGCCAAACTTGCACTCCAAATACTCTGTTTTAGTGCAACTTATACGCAAGCCATGCAACTCTAAAGCCTGTCTCCACGAATCCAACTTCTCATTCAAATCCTCTCGTGATTCACTCATAAGGATGATGTCATCGGCAAAAAACATGCACCATGGTACAAACTCTTGGATATGTACGGTAAGAACGTCCAATACTAGTGTAAAAAGATATGGGCTTAACGATGACCTTTGGTGTAATCCTACACCGATGGGAAATTCCCCTATTATCCCAGTTTGACTTCTCACGCTCGTTCTAGCCCCCTCGTACATGTCCTTAATTGGACAAATATAAGCAATCCTTACTTCTTTTTTCTCTAGCACCTTCCACAAAACCTCTCTTAATACCCTGTCATATGCCTTTTTCCAAATCAATAAAAGTCATGTGTAGATCTTTCTTTTCACTTTGGTAACTCTCCATCATTCTTCTCACCAAGTATATAGCCTCTGTAGTCGATCTTCCTGGCATAAAACCAAAATGGTTCTCTAACACCGAAGTCTCTTGTCTCAACCTCCGTTCAACCACTCTTTCCTATAACTTCATCATATGACTCATATGTTTGATCCCTCTGTAGTTTCCACAACATTGAATATCTCTCTTATTCTTGTAAATAAAAACCAAAACGCTCTTCCTCCATTCGTTAAGCATCTTCTTAGATCTTAAAATCTCGTTAAAAAACTTAGTTAGCCACCAAATGCCTTTTCCTCCTAAGTCCTTCCAAACTTCAATCGGAATGTTGTCTGGGCCCATTGCTATGCTATTCTTCATTTGTTTTAGGGCTTCCTTAACTTCAGTTTCTCAAATTCTTTGATGATAATTGAAGTTTTGGGTCCTCCTCCCTTGTGTGAAGCCGATTGGAGCATGAGAGATTCACATGCTCCTCATTAAACAGATCATTGAAGGAGCTCTTCCACTGCTTGTTTATGCTTTCATCGGAAACCAAACGGCATAAATTATACTTTATTCCTACTTAAATAAATGCAATGGAGGGGGGTTTTACACTATTCATGCACTCACATTTGATCATCTTTTGTGATTTATACAAAAAAATATATATAGCCATGTGGGGTATTTTGAGATGCACCTCAAAATAAACTTTCTTAATATCAACTTTTTATAAGATTTACCATAACATAATTGAAAATATTAAAAATTTAGGCAAACGTGAAAATCTTGATGTTGCATTAATTTAAGAAGGAAGTATCAAATACTATTCATTTATTTGCACAATTGTACTCCGTACTAGAACGGATTCTGAATAGCATCGCCAATCCACTGAAGACTCATTAATAATACAAGTATTTGATAGCATTCATGTGGAGCAGATTGCATTTCTTCTTACTTGGAAGGATCTAAACACAAAATAAAAGCAAAATACCTGTCTTCTTATAGATCCTGACAAATTGAACGTGCCAGACGACTCATTATTTGTAGTCAAAGATAGCATCACACTACTAGTTAAGGAGTAATGTGCAGTCCCTTCATCCTCTGGACCCACCTAAAAAAGTTAACCAGAATCAAAGATGGTGCTTGGAAATAGGCAGGCACTGTCATATATGACGAGATCAAAGCGGTTTTTATCTTCTCTTTTAATGTACTCCAGCAGTACCTGGATTACATGTATTGCATCCCAGGAACCTTCCTGCAGATGACCTCTTCTACCATGTCCAGATTTTGAGCCATCTATTTCATCAAAGGGGGTGACAAATTAGAACAAATGTAGAATCAACATTACTTCCGTGTGGCAGGCACTCACCTTTCTTTATTAAGAAGCAGGCAATGAAGCCATCATTCTCATCTTCCCACATGTATACCGATGAAATGCCTCCTTCATAATACCTAAGAATAATTTGGTTAATGAAATTGACACCCAGCACACACATTAACTCATTCCAAAATTAAGTAATCATGTCATTATATAAATGTTCTTCAAGTGACGTCTTTAAGACTGGCCAAGATAAATAGTGAGCTCACTAGGCCAAAGTGAACCAAATAATTTAAAAATCATATCAACTGTAAATTTACAACACAGACAAAGGATGAGGTAAATAAAGGACCTCACTGGTCACGATAAACAGCAAAAACTTCATTTGCTTCAATCTCAAGTTTCCTTAGGTCTGCAGATGGAAAAGCTCCATCTTCTAGAGGTGGGTGATATTTATTGGACAAAGGCGACCTGCCAGAGAGAAAATCATATTTAATATCATAAAATGGCATCCTATGTAAAAATAGATGACAAAATAAAGATAAACTCAAATCTCATCAAACAAACAATATATTGTACACTATGATGACCTAAATATTTACAATGCAAGCTCGTTTGGCATGTGATACATGCTGGGCAGAAGGACAGTGCTTGGATGCATAGGTATTCTTCTGGCAGCATAGCAGTACACAAGGTGAAAAGTTGTGCAGAAGGAGCCTTTTTATAGTAGTCTTTAAGTCGGTGATAGATAGATTACTTAATTAGTTGGAGTATAACTGTATAATTAGTCCTTTACTTACTCTTTAGTTATTGTATTTGGTTAGAGTTTGGTTGTATTTAATTTGGACAGAAAACATTCATTATTATTATTAAGATAGTAACTGCAGCAAATAATTTTGGCTCGACTCGAAATTCGTATTTGGAAAAAACCATATCAGAATTCGAACAGTATTTGTGATTTGTTACCTTACCGAATAAGAATACGAATATGCACGTATTTGATCCACTACATAATCGGGTATATTTGGTATACAGTTGTCTGTCATACTCAATATTAAATTAGTTCTGAAAAATATACAGTATTGACCGTGTGTGAATGAGGAGGCTGAGAATTGAAAAGTGAGTGTCGTCTGTCTCTCCCCAAGAGCATTCAATTTGCAGATCAGGCAGATCGTCACTCCCAGGCTCGGATGTGCAGAGTGTCTATTCGTCTATGTCCATCTAGCCTTGTTCTCTGCTCTTCTCTCGATCTAGGTTTGACTTTGCATTTATATTTTAGGTTTTTAAAATAAAATTATATTCCCTCCGTTCTCAAAAACACTTCCTCTTTCATTTTTTTCACTTCCAACAAAACACTTCCACTTTCTATTAAAAAACCACTTTTACCCTTACTTTTTCATACCCTACCTATCACATCATACTTTATCTCTAATAATCTATCCATCACATCTTACTTTTACCTATCACATCAAGGGCAAAATTGGAAGTCAACTACAATTTAATACTTCCTTATTTTTACACAAAGTCAAAAGAGGAGCACTTTTTCCAAACGGAGGGAGTAGTATTTTTGAAGGATTTCAATACATTATTCCAGATGGTTTTNGTTCTCTGCTCTTCTCTCGATCTAGGTTTGACTTTGCATTTATATTTTAGGTTTTTAAAATAAAATTATATTCCCTCCGTTCTCAAAAACACTTCCTCTTTCATTTTTTTCACTTCCAACAAAACACTTCCACTTTCTATTAAAAAACCACTTTTACCCTTACTTTTTCATACCCTACCTATCACATCATACTTTATCTCTAATAATCTATCCATCACATCTTACTTTTACCTATCACATCAAGGGCAAAATTGGAAGTCAACTACAATTTAATACTTCCTTATTTTTACACAAAGTCAAAAGAGGAGCACTTTTTCCAAACGGAGGGAGTAGTATTTTTGAAGGATTTCAATACATTATTCCAGATGGTTTTGAATAAAACTTGAACTTTGTGATTGGATTTGTTTCAAATTTGAATATTTGTAAACGAATTGAATTTTATAAGTATAATAATCGAATCAAATCCGAATACAAAATTATTCGAATTGAATCCAAATACTAGTCAAAAGTTGTGAATAGAAATAAAAATACTTAATACTCCATATTTGATTTGACTCATTAACAACCCTACTCAAAATATAATGGGATATAAGTTACAACTTAATGCAAGCATAAACAACAACCTAGTTGGATCCAAGAGAGGCTGTTTCTAAGAGACCCTCGGCTCAGCTGCACATGTAGAAGATCACAAGGGATACAGAAAGCAGAGGAGCACAAATAAAAAAACAGATATAACACCAAACACCTTGAGTCAAAAAGCAAACAAAAGTTAACAAAGGAAAAGTACTTTAAGCAAATAGCACCAAGCATACAAGGCATACGTAGCACACAATACTAACTACAGAAAACTACCCCCTAGTCCAAGGCGTCTACCCGTCAACTCTAATTCTGGCTCTCCAAACACTCTTATCTAAGGTCATATCCTCAGTAAGGACAAGAAGTGCTAAGTCCATTCCAATCACCTCCTTCCAATTCTTCTTAGGTTTACCCCTTCCTCTACTTCCCCCGCTAATGTAAGCATCTCATAACTCCGCCATCTCACATGCCCGAATCACCTCAACCTAGCAACCTGCAGCTTGTCTTCCACAGGTGCCATGCCTACCCGTCCTTGGATGACCTCGTTTAGAATCCTATCCAACCGTGTTTGCCCCCACATGGCCACATCCACGATAACATCCGCATCTCCGTCGCATACAGTCGGCCCACGTGATTTTTCTTAACCACACGGCACTCTGCCCCATACATCATAGCTAGCCTAACTACGGACCGGTAGAACTTACCTTTCATTCTAGGAGAAATCTTGTTGTCGCACAGCACGCCTGATGCCAACCTCCACTTAGCCCAAGCTGCTCCAACACGATGATGCGCAACATCACCATCCACCTCCCCATCCCTGCGTGAATGACCAAGCCAAGATGCCAACTTATCAACCTTGGGCACTGGGTGAGAATCAATCCTAACTTTTACCCCGGGTTCCATCTCCCAACCACACATAAACATGTCAACTAAATAAGAGTTTTCAGATCCCGTGGTGTCGTCGAAGGGGGGAAACATCATTAAAAAAAATGTTAAGTTGAAAATACAAGTAGAAAGAAGTGGAATTCAAGAAAACTTATGGTTGTAGAAAACCTCTAGTTTCTTCAATTAATCAAAATATAATAGGATAAAAGTTACGGCTAAAATTATTCGAGAGTCTTTTTATACTAGGTTCTCCTCTTAGCCTAAGATACAAACCGCCGGCAATACTAATAAGACAATAAAAGAAATAGTATGACAGTAAAAATAAGCTCTTATGTCATTCTTTCCAGCTTGAAATGCGACAAGAAAACCTTTGCGACTTCAGCATAAATTCCTGGATCAATTTGTTTGTTATACTCGAGCCTGGCCCATGAAACTCTCACTCACGTCCCACACTAACATGAGAGTCCAAGGACTAATGTTCAAGTTTTATGATCCATTTTAACTTGAATTAAAAGGTCCTTAAACCCGAAAGGCCAAAACGACCTTCGTTTTGATCCAAGGGTTCCCCTGGTCATCCCCAAACACCAAAACCCAATCCCTCAACATCCAAAATAGTTTGTGTCTCAAAAATAAAGTCTCCCCCCATCTTCTCAAGCCTTAGTCCAAAAATGACAGAGAGATAAAACCCAAAACTTCAGTTTGTTGTTTTCCTTCTTTAAAAGCCTTTATTATATCAAATAAAGTGTTTCCCTTCATTCCCAATCACAAGGCCGAAATTCCCACCTTTTTTTCTTCCCAAAATCAGGCCTAAATC